CCAGATGAGACGATGGAGCCTTTCGGCAGACAGCGAGCGCCCGACGTAACCTACGTTTATGCCTTACAGCATCCACGGCCGGTACACTCTGGATACTCGGCCTGACTGGCCTGTCCGACGGCCCGTTCCCTTGTCGCCCTTCATATATGCGTTGATGGCAGATCTGTATCTGTACAGAATATCCCGCCATCAAGATATCATAAGCCGGGAGTACACTACGTCGGAAGAGAACGGGCTCTGTCCCGTTCTCTGCATTCTGCATTCCGGGTGGTCCCAACTGGTCCTTGATCATACGATGGTCTATGCCTCTTCATGCCATCACGTCTCAAGTCAAGTGAGAGACAACTAAATGAGTCGATGGTTTCAAAGTAACAAAGAACGAAACCCCGCCCTCGGGTCGCTCTGCACACAGACATTTATCTAAGTAAGAGCAGGACTGCGGTCGCCTGACTCCTCAACGCTGGCCATAGCCGAGCCGTACTGCTCGAGTGCGTTCCGCGCCCACCACCCTTCGGTTACGATCCCCGTATGATTCGATCTTCGGGAGAGGATGGCACGTCGCGCATCAGGCGAAAGTCCGGCAGTCCGACGGGAGCTGACCCCGTCGATTCCGACGGCATACATCCACTTCACTGTGTTCCCTGTTAACACGCGCTCGGGTGGGGGTCAGATTGATCCCCCAAAGGTTTTTACCAAATGGTTTCCGAACGGCGCGGCATAGCCGCGCCAAAGTTTGCATGACTGTAGGAAACTGAATAGTGGCTCGTCTGGAATGACAAATTATGATGTACCTTGCATGGGCGTTGACCTATGGCAGGTCAAAGTCAGGCCGTGGATTCGATTCAGCGAAGGCAATTTCTAGGGAATAGCTCAATCTGAATCGACAACGGAGTGTTAGACGAGGCCACACACCTCTGAGATACATTTTTAGGCAACACAACAATTTAATTGACCAGTTACAGCGACCTAAGGTCCGGTGTGAATGTAACAACAACGTCAAAATCAACCTGTTCTCTAGGGATTGCTGTATGGGGTAGTTTCTGGTGCTCATGTCGAATTTATTGATAACAGGAACCACACTACACACCTTTCATAGACTTCTTAAAGGCCAGAATAGTTCACTGACCTAGAAAGACCCATGTCAAAATTTTGTTTCTAGGAGCATTCTGCCTAGCGCCATCTTTGCCCCTTATCTAAATGCAAAACTTGAAGTGGTCTTGTATGATCTTGGTCGCCATGACTTTCAAAAGGCCAAACAACGTCACTGACCTTAGATGAGCATGTGACTTTTTGCTTAGAACAACAACAAACAAACAAAAATCGAGACACCACAGGAGTGTCATCGCAATAAATGGCCTCGTCTGCCGCGCCCACCTTCACGGCACACTCCCGGTTTTGTACGCGGCTTTAGCGAGTTCGACTCCCATGCGTTCAGTATCCAACGCGACCCCGCAACTGCCGGCGTGTCGCGTGCGCTTGACTACCTTGTCCGTCTACACCGTAAGGTGCTGTCCTCTGCCGGCGGGTCTAGGGTGCCCGCTCCGCCCTTGTGCACGGTCGGGTGCTGCCCTCTGTCGCGATTCGGCTAGTAGTTGGCGATTGCATCAGGCCAGGCAACAAAAGGAAAACATAGGGAAATGGAAAGTACCGACGCTCGATAAAGGAATCCAGGCGTATGCGCTGGATGGAGCTAGACTGCACCGAACTGAACAAGGCAATTAATCAGTAGACAAAAAACAAAAGCAAATTATATACGTGCGAATGCCGTGCCAAGTCAGTTAATTAATCGAGCCGGACAAGCGATACAAGGAAAAAGGCAGCGCACGCATGATGAAATCCCTGCAGGCACGCTGGAAGGGGTTCAGCAAGGGTTCGGCGTCTCTCAACACAAAACAAAAGGGGAGAACAAAAGCGAACGGCTAACCGAACGTAAAATGAGCCTACATGTGTGCGGACATCTTACGAAACCAATCATTCAATCGACCTAGGCGAAGCAACCAGTTACGAAGGAGGAGAAGATGGCGTGGTCGTTTGGTAGTCTTCGCATGCGCGCTGGGCGGGGATCAGTGACAGCCCGACCCTCCTCCCTCGAGATTTAAAAAAATTGGAAGAACAAGAAAAAAAACAGACCGTCTAACTACCAGTAGGCCAACGCCATAGCTGGAGGAGACCATGGATATGCCGGCGTGGCCTGCACGCCGCGCCTGCTCGCGATTCGGGACCGGCGAGGGCCATGACGAGCCGTGGCGCCCCCCTCCCCTTGGTCGCCTCTGAGGGAAAAAAGACAAACGCCACACCGAAGCGCGCATTATCAGCCTCAGACCCCATGCCAACCCACCCCGGGCGCGAATGCCCTTTCGCCGCCTAACCAAGTCACCTCCAGCCTCGCTCCCACGCTAAACCATTAAAACGCAGAAGGTCACCTGCCTACAAAAACTTATTACTCATACGTATTGACCGCGCCAGTTCATCGTTTTGCGCGGGCAGAGCGCCGAACCGCGTGACACATCACTCCCCCCCCCCCCCCTCCCTAGCTACGCGGGAAAGAGCAGGTAGCCGCGGCCCGCGCCCGCCCGTTGGGGAGGGCTTAAGGAACAGTTTGGAGCGCCAGTCGCCCATGGCCCTGTTGGGGCCATGGGGACAACAGCCCAGGGATTCTTATCGTGCGTGTGGTGGTTGATTTTCTGTCGCCCACAGCGTCAGATATCGCCGCTAGGTGATGGGCGTCGGGACCGTCTCGTTCTCGATTCACTCCTGTTCGACCCCTGATGCGCTCTCCCCGTTCACCTAGCAGCCCCTTAGACTTCTTCTCGACTGCTTCCCTCAGACTTCTCTGGGGTTTCCTGCTATACTCATGACCATACCCTTCGCACGATGCTTTACTTCTTCGTGATCTCTTCCTACTGGAGCAGGCCATTTTCGTTTTCCCGCACGGTCTTACAGTCTTGCCGCCACGCCCTCCTCCGTCCAATAAGTTGCCGGACCGGCCTGCCCTACTTCCAGGGCTCGACCTACTTCCAGGGCTCGACCTACTTCCAGGGCTCGACCTACTTCCAGGGCTCGACCCTCCAACGCGCCCGGGGCCACATCTCGGGCGTGGCGTCGCTAGCAATACTGAAAAGCTCACCTGCTCGCTTCCTGGCTCGTCCCAGGTGGGTCTGCACTCCCCCCTCCCCCCTCTCCTCGCGCCTCTGGCCCAGTTCTGACGTGGCGTGGCACTTCTGATGCGATGCCAGCTGGTGTGCCGGCGGCGTCGGCGCGGCGGAGTTCTCGGGGCGGAGCGGGAACATCTTCCAAACATGTCAGGTCAACATCACTGCGTGTTCTTCGTTTCGCCGGTGATCAGGCGTCCCGCGTCCATTGATCCTGATGTGGTCGTTCACTTCGGAAAAGGAGGTCATGGTCACCATCATGGTCGTTCCGAGGGAAAACCGCGACCTGCTCCATCTAACAGTGCGACGCACGCTGTTCTCCACGCAGACCCGGTGAACACATGGCGCCGGTTTGATGATGTGAGCCGGTCGGCTGGAGTGTCGGTCAGATTCGCATCAGCCTCTCAGGCCCCGCTCGACCCTGCGGTTGTGTCTGGCTCTGTCGGTGGGGCGAGTTTCAGCCGCGGCCGGTTTGCCTGCCGTCCAACAGTCCGCCAGGAAGCTCCACCGATTCCGGACGGGTAATGTGTAGGAACAAAATGTTGCAAATGTATGCCTACCTTGTCATATATTATTGTCTTTGGCACACCGGTCACCCTCAAATGTCAGAGGGCTTTGAACCGATTGACGACCCCCTGCGGGCCCCTTTTTTCGGCCCGGGGCCACCAACACCGAACAGTTGGCTCCGAGTCGGTCTGAGCCATGACGGTTAATTTTCCATGCAGTGGCAGTGCAGCCGGTCTCGTGATTCGTATTGGTCCTGCGCTGATATATGTTAATTTATGGTCCCAAATGTGGCCGTCGGGACAATGCCTAACAGGTGGTACTTTAACGCGTTGGCTGCATAGAGATAGTGGAATGTCCCAGAACAACACTTTTGGAACAGTGTGGTTGCTCAGGCCGGTTTGGTTCTCCAGTTGGTCCGCGCAGCGTTACGGATCGCATTGTTTCATATAACTGACACAATCTAAGCCTTGCCATCAATTTCGTAATCCGACGATGTCTAAAATGACGCTGCAAAAGCTTTTCCAAGTTATCTAACATAAGTCTACCAAACGGTACTCTTCAGCAGTATCGTACTTTTGCCAATGATCCTTGTGTCGGTTACACTCACAACGACTCGGGTTTTCGCACGATTCCCATGTTGCAGCAAATCGAGCTTTTGAAAACTATCTATGTCCGCAGCATCATAACTATTTGCACTACCTCTGCCATGATAGCCACCTTCCCTGAATTGCAGCTTTTTTAGGTAGAATGCTAGGCATGCTATCTATAATGCTTTGCAATTTTGCACCAGGTGCACGCATTCCATGTTTTGAGAATTTTTGTTCATGCAATAATCATGATTGAGCTTAAACTTGCCAGCGAAAGTTGTTTGGACATCTACGAACGAAATATTGGTATCTGTGCACTGTCCTGCTCAGCGTATGATGTTTTTCCCAAAGTATTACAAATAAGTTACGATATTTTCAAGTTTCAACGGCTCCGCTGATGTAACATCGTAACTATTGTAATAAACGTACCTTTTGCGTTCAAGGGAAACAACACTGAGTGTCTGGGCAAAATGATTTGTGAACTCATAAGCGAAACACAGACTGGTGGCAAAAGGAAGGAAAGCAACAAATCCGCACTTCTTTTGAGGGAGTGTTCCACATACATATGATGTTTTGAACTGAAATAGTTATCTTCAAGACCTTTCAGTGCTGTTCACAATCCTGCCTTTTTAAGACCTCAGCCCCTCCAGTTTCTGATTTTCAGGATTTGAATGACGTCATGATAACGTCATTCAAGTCCTGTCCTTTCATGAGCCATGCGGAGATCAAGACCAAGAAAATTATAATTGTCGAGATGCTCATATTTGGCGTTCTTGAGCGCGATTTCCAGATATAACGGCCGTCAATTGGCCCTCAATCAACGTGTAAGGTACGAAGACGTAATCAGAGGATAACCCACCGAAGAGCAAGCTTATTAAACCAAGGATTCCGCTATCTAGAGCAGTCTTTTTCACTTAGCAATTATACCAATAGTCATAGGTGAGCTTGTTTCATCATATCTCACGCATGCCCCTATGTCTTCAAATGGGGAACCATTCCCTTTAAGGGCCTTCGCGAGGAAGATCATACATATACAGAAGACGATACTAACAGCCTCGTTCCTCGCAGGATAAGCAGGATATTGAAGAGATAAATGCATTGGTGTTTCTGCTGCATGCCCTTTTCAAGGCGAATATCAGTGGTAAATTGAACATTGCCTGCTTAACCTACTTTATTTTCCTTTTCAAACAGCGAGCCACGGTTTTTACAACTTACCAACATTCAGGGGATCGAACAAGAAATGCTTGCCAACCATTACTATGATACAGTGTACATCCAACTAAGAATTGAAATACGCGAAAGGACGTGTACATGCAAACGAATTCAAGTAGAAAGGCATAACGCATCACGCACCATGCATGCACGAAAGTGATTTCAATTAAACAAGCATCATGCATCACGCAACACTTTAACATGTACACAATTTCATTTAAGCATGCATCGTGCTTCACACAACAGGCGTTGTTCACACATGTGAACAATTTTTTTTTCGTTTTAAGTTAGCACGCATCACATATCAAGGCACTAGTCACTTTAGCATAATCGGCCATGTTGAGCCCCGCACTCTAAGATCTGGTCGCCGTTTTCCTTTAAGAATCTATTCTTATAATTCTACATATATGCATGACGCCCGTTTACTTGGAATCGCTTCTAGGTTTGAATGATGCATATTGTTCTATGCATTTTCACTTAAGTTTGTTTCCATATACATGTATTTTTCGCGCAGTTTAATTTTTAGTTGGATATGCTGTGTCGTAGTAACGGCTGGCTATTGCTCCTTGTTCAATCCCCTGCATGCTGGTGACCTGTAAAAACTGTGGTCTGCTGTTGAAAAAAGAGAAAAAATGCACAGAATCGGCAGGCGGTTTTGAAGTTATTCCTAATATTTGTCTTAATAAAGGAAGTTACCCGAAATATCAGTCCATTTTTATTTCCATTCTCCTGGTTATTTTACGAGGAATGAGGTAACTAGTACTGCATTAATCAGAAGCCACAAGTATATCGTCATTAAGATAGTTTTATACACGCATGACGCAAGAGGTTTTGTGCGTCAAGTGCTGCCGGAAAATGACACATTAGAAGCCAGCGTCAACTTGCACTCATGTCACCTTGGAATCTCTTTACATTGGAGTAACCCCTGAACCCCTGAGCATATCAAATGTGATGCCCATGACAAGGCGAACGCCGACAATACGATTTTCTCCCTGTTAAAACAGCGCTGATTGCTGTTCATCAAATCGAAGGAAAAATTCATCGACCAGACTTGGGATGGTGGACAGCTGCAATACGTTATTTCATTGATCATCGCAAAGCTACTTGCTGAAGCTACAATGAGCCTTCATCCAGAACAACACTATAATCGCGATAGAGCAGAACACTTATGTGAGAACATCCCCAGACATGGCAGTCACCAAGGCCCAAGAGCGCTGCACCGCCATGCCTATCGATGTTCTCACTTCCGAAGTACGTATATCGCATCACCCACAGCCACGTCCCCCTCCACGTCCACGCCTAAACCGGTACCGAACAGCGGTGCCTCCTTGTACAGCTTCTTCTCGTCCTCCGTCTTGGCCAGCCGGAACGTCCTCAGGGTCTTCAGCGGCTCCATCCTCTCGCTGCGCTCGCCGGTCTGCGGGTTCACGCAGGTGGTGGGGCACCGCTGGACGGGCTTGATCCTGCGCAGCACCGCGTCGCCGATCTTGACGAAGCTCCAGTTGTCGTCGTCGAACGCAGGTGCACCTTCGATGATTAGGTTGTGGCGGAAGTTTTCGAGAAAGACTGGCGTCTCCATGCGTGAGTTGAGCGCGTCCAGCGAGGACGTGCAGATGACGGAGATGGGCGTGACGTTGGTGAATGCGGAGATATCATCCGGCGATGCTAGACTCGCGTACGGCTTCGGGATGTCCACGGTTCTTCGCGGCGTCACTACTCCCGGCAGGAAGTACATCAGCGTGTAGACTCCAGCGTCTCCGAAGAACTCAGCCAGCCAGCGGCTGACGACCGGGCCCAGGTCCACGCCCGAGCTCGGGTAGCCGAAGAGAGTGCCGCTAACCATGCTGACGTCGTCGCCGTCCTGCGGAAACGGCACGGTCAGCGGCGGCATCCCGGGTGCGGTCAGAGTGACGCCGTTTGCGTCCACGTCGGCGGCGACGAGCACTAGGCGACGGCGCGCGCTGGCAGACACCACCCGGCCCTGGTAGACGACAGCCAGGCAGCGGTCGAGGACGGCGCCCCGTCGCACGCCAAGACGCGTCACCCGGACCCGCTGGCAGCGCTGGCCGGCCCCCGACTTCAGCGGGTACAGGTGGATGGCGGCGAGCCGGCCGGCCGGCGTCCAGGTGGCGGCGGCGCCGGGGCGACGCCGACGTCGCCAGGTCAGGAGCAGGGCGGCGCCGAGCAGGGCGGCGGCGGCCAGCAGCGGCAGTAGGCGCGACTCCGCCATGTCTCGGTTACCGGTCACCCACGCACCACTGACCGCCACCGATCAGCCACCACCACTGCCCGCCACCAGTCGCCCACCACTGCCCGCCAACGATCAGCCACCACTGCCCGCCACCAGTCAGCCACCGCTGCCCCAACCGGACAGCCAACAGCGGCCTCACCAATGTTTAGATTGTGGGCGCGGGGGCGACGCCACGGGAGGTTCAGTTGGCACCTCATCTATGCCACAATTTAATATCAGCTCTGTGATGTTGGATCTCCATGTGATAATGCCTGGAAGCTCGGCGTGTTCACATCTACCTGCTGCTCACAACAGGTAGATGTGAACACGGTGCATGGGTGCTCACATCTACCCTACTCCTCCGAGATTCCACTGCCACTGCCGGTCTGGGTACTCGCCAGGAATGCATCGCACCGCGCCTGCGGCGTCTGGATACGTGACTGTGTCCTCCGGCCACAGCTGTCTTCGTTGGAACGGCGTGCGGCATTCACAGTTTGTGTAACAGTGATTGCGGCACTTTACCGAAACACAGCTTGGCACGTACAGAAGTGGGTTATCAAAGCACGGACTCGTTACGTTTGCGCAGGGCTGCTGCTGATATCATCGGCCGACTCCGCCCGGGTTGGTTCAGTCCAATCCAATGCCACCAAGGTTTCTGAAGTCCGCAAAAAGCTTTATGAATGAACTAGAAGAAGTAAAGAACATGAACAAGTATATTCATATGAGTCACATGTTAACAACAAATAACATACAACCAATGTACCGTATGCTGATACAATCACTTCGAATTCTATCATTTACACTCAGCAAAATTATGACTACGGGTATGACTGAAAAACGTCCCAAGCAACATCACTGGTTGTACCTCGCACCGATGGGCAATGTCGCCCCAGGCTGCTGATTTTTCACGATGCGCTGCAAGTGTACCGCAGCACTGCAGCAGTGAACACCCCGCCTTACGTTCCCGTGTGACCATCCGGTACGATCACGACACCTCATATGGCAGCCCGACGCCCAAAAGACGCGATGAGATCCTGTGGCGATCTGGAGACTCACGAGCCCCGGTAAATACAGCACTCGGCGGAATAATGTTTCATAATCCGCTCCCACCAGATACGGCTCTCTAAAATCACATCTGTCAACCGACTCGGCCCCTGAATTTTTAAATCCAAACAGGCTTAGTCAAAATATGCTGACAGAAAGTTGTACCAATCCATACTCAAATGTCTGTCGATTTATGCCATCATATACAGCCAACTAGGACACATTTGAGAATATTTAATTTTTCACCCTCAATGATGTCCCATAAGTATTCTGAATGGCTGCAATGGCCAGCAATGAATACGCCAGTTTGAAGCATTCCAAGCTGCTACAAATTGGCGAGCCTCGCTATTAACCTAGTTTGAATGAATGTATATCTTGTCACGTATCTGGGACAGAAACCTGACATTCTGAATCCTGTATTCATCGACTCGCTGTCTTAGTCAGTATACCTTTCATGGGTGCCCAAAGATACCATTGAATCTATGACATTCCGGTATTCACGTGTATTTTGAACAACTTTGTGTTTTTCAATGTTGCCATATTCATCATGCCATATTCATAACGTTCAGCCAAAGGAAAGATCTTAAATAATGCGCTGGGAAATGCCAGGGAATAAGGCACAGGACCGGGTTGGCTCAACTATTGAAGCCAAGAATGTGACTAAATTGTCACCTTAACAAATAACAAATTGGGTATCACTGAGATTCCCCGTTCGTATCGCAACAGTGACGTAATGATGCCATCAAACTACACCCGTTTTTCTGATTACTGTCTTACTGAATAAATACAATCTCTAATGCTGGGCGTGCTATGTGTCGAAAAAAATGGATTATCCAACGCTTTATGTGTATATGGATATAGTTCGTCGCAACCTCCAGCGATCATTCGTGGAACAAAGACAAATCTGTGCGGCGGATAACGAATGGCGGTGTTCTCATGATCATTTTTTTTTAGCAATATCTTGCGATTGGTAATAATTTGCATGCTGCTAGGTCTATATTTTACGCCATTATGTCAGATCAAAGGACCAATTTCCCGAAAACCGAATTTTGTACCTTTGCATACTCATATTATGAGACCATGGCGTCGAGACGTTAACAGGCATGTTTCTGGTTTAATTCGGAATACAGGGCTCCGTTAATATAACAAGGTCGGCCCGCCGCGCGGTCCTCGGAATCGTCGGTTGCGGCCCGTCGCCCGCGCCAGCCGTAGATCGCTGTGTAATGCGTCATCACCTTGCGTAATCGACGCCGGTTACGCAATATGTCGTGGAGGTACCCTCGGAAGCAATTGAGTGGGGTCCCATCGCGCCCTCTCTTCCTCCCCATCAGGGCGAGAGTCAAGACATGCCAGGCATGCGTGCTGGGTATTCGGTGCCACGGTGATAATTTTGCAAGTGCCTTGGTAAAGCTTATTTTCATGAAGGGCGCCGGTAGTGTCGTGCTTGAAGTGAACATCTGGAAAACCAGAGGTATGGTTTCGGTCACCCGCGGGCCCTCCCTTCCTACCAGGGTGAGGGGCAGGCAATGCCATTTATCCCCAGCAGCTAAGTGCGTCCTAAAGCCCCAATGCCGCAACGACACGTGTTGGAAACGGCATCGGAGCATATTCCAGCCATTTATAATGATGCAGCTGGAACTTGGGCAGCCTTACAATGTTTCGTGTTCTTGGAAGGTTCGAATTGTCTGCAGTTCATAGGTTAAGGTAGCTTGCTCGCATGTCACATTCTTCATGTCTTGCGCTTTAGATACCCAATCGAATTATCCAGCAACATGGGAAAATATCAGTGAGCTCAGTTTTGAAGAAAGACTACGTAAGGCTTACTGACCTCGGTAAAAAGGCACGAAATTATCGCAAGGCTTTAATGCCCGCTTTTTGCGACACTGAATGCCAATCAATAACGGTAATGATGCTATGCTACCTTATTGCCATTGACCAGATTGGTAACGGTAGGACTACATACGTTTTCACTACATGTTGTAGATGCATTACAATCAGCCATGATTTACCCTGCCACCTTTATGCATAGAAGGCAATGGCTTGTGTAACAGCTTATCAACCTACTTCCAGTAATATCTGGCAGTCACTTTTTTGGAACATTCTACTCAGGGTCATGTTTGCATCGATTATCTGGGACGCCTTTCCATTGCCATTGATTGGAACCAACATTTCTGGATTATTCAAGTCCTTTTTGTAGCATTTGTAGAATAGCAATTGTAAATCTAGTTGGCATCTTGGAATCTAGCTGTGTTTAGACTTCTTGAATCTGTGTGGTGTGGCAAACTGTAAAATTCGTCCTGGTCCTAAAGCGCTGCGTTGCCCAAACTATTCTGGTTCAGTCAAATTTGTGCCGCGCATCCAGCCGCCATCTGCAAATTCACCAAATCCGTGAACTGTTCTTCTGGAAAACCATATGCGTGAGATGCCGTAGAATCTACAATGATGAGGGTCTGGCAGCCAATAAAATGGTCCATAACAGCTCTACCCTACGTTTCTTGTTGAACTTTGCACGTGCTGCAAACTTCAACAAGTCCTTGCAAAAGCTGGAGAGGGACAGCTAAAATCGTAAGAGCAGCAAGCATACCAAAACAAAATACCTATGCAAAAAACCTATGCTTACTTCCATGAAGGCAGACTCACTAAACCTGACCTAAAGAAGCCTTACCTCATCCCATCGTGCATCACCTATTTGTATCACGGCGACATTTGTGAGCCGCTGGTTCTGGCAAAATTTCCACTGCTTCTTACCATGCAAATAGCCAAGGCTACTAGAGTAAAAGGCTACGCAGATGTGACGTCACCATGGGACTTAAGTTTGGTAACCCGTAGTATGACATTTGGCTGAAGCTACTAGCTTGGTACATTTTAGGAAAATGAATAAAAACGGAAATTTTTTCCACTGAATTGTGTGGCAATCCTGTTTCACACCTTTTTTTCGAGTTTTGTGGGAGCAAAGATTGTACAGCTAGCATTTCAGACCTTTTAAAGACAAATCAGTGTCAGGATGCACTTCCAACTACATATCCTACTAAACCACATTTTCTAGCTGCAGCACCAGCGCTTTATTCGTCATAGCCAACGCGCCTGAATATCGATACGCTAGTTGAGTTCTGACTTGCGCATTGCTCTTTTATATTTGCACCGCAGCACCTATTGAGTGAAACGTGAAAATGAGGTTAGTGAATAAAACAGGCGCCAGGAATTTTGCTGCTGCTGTGCTGCGATCTTCCTAGGCGTGGGTTAACTTGCAGATCCATGGTGTCGGATGGGTTAAGTGAAAAAGGTTTGCAAGGAATAATACCTCGACCACCCTAATATATTCCCGAGACTTTTTGCAACCTTGGATATGGACCATTCCTGTTTGGCTGGTGGACATTGCAAACTTACCAGAAATGGTCCCATTTTGCAGCAGAATCTGCCACCATGAGCTGTAATGGCGCGCGCTGCAGTTACGCCTCACGGGTTTCAACACTCACTATCCCATCATCATCGCGTTGAGGAGCACGTCCGCTAAACAAAAAATCCGTGTTGTCTGGAGCATACATTGGAGGCAAATCATTTATATTTGAGGGTTTCTTCTTCTGTCTGTCAAATGTGGGCCCAGAGGCTTTTTCTCCACACAACCCAAACATGGTATTGACGTCACTGACAACTATCTCTTGGACTCTTTTATAACAAGCGACATTTAGCCCTATATCTGTCTTGTGCCACAGACCTAACATTGTTTTGCTTGAACTTGAGATCCCATCTGCTTGATTGCAAGATATCATTAAAAACAAAATCAAGCAACATGATTTGTTTTGCGCGGCATCGCTAGTTCAGGTTATAGGTTTAGTTCAGCTACAACAATGGAAACAACAGGAAAAACGAGCATTTTGCTGAGATGGACTTCTAATCTGGTTCCGTGATGAACAAAATTTATACCTAGCACCACAAACCCACCATCCCATTATTACAATGGACGTCGAACGGATTCGTTTTGCATCGGTTCCTTATCCAAATAGCACGAAAGGACTTCCAGCGCGCAATGTCACTCCACGGCTG